CAGGAGTTAATTCTTTATGAGACAGTTGTAAAAAAGACTAGAAATCAAGGGACAGTTATTTGTGGGGAGTTAAAACAGTGATTCTGTTTTAAAGAACTGTGTGAAACATATCTGTATATGTAAAGTGTGTGTATGTGCGTGTGGATACACTCTCACATATAGAAACATATCCAACTTTGTTAAGGAATGGAACGCATGTTTGTGTACTCATAGACATTTTCCCTTTCTTTAAAAAAAAATCCCCTTGAGTAATGAAATTTTTAAAATGAGTTAGGTTGACATTTTGCAGAAAATTGAGTTATCAAGGCCGTAATTATTTCACAGGGAGACAAAAATTCTTCGCCTCTAACTGTCAAACAGGAGAGTCTTTTTCAGAGCCCCCTCCCCTTTCAAATTAGAACATTAAAAAAAGAGAAAAGACCTCAGCTCTTCGTAGCAAAAGGGTTTGTGAGTGGTTAAACACAGTTTCCCCCCCACCCCCACCCCAATACTGGTGGTCGTCAAACTCTGCTAATTAACAATGCTGAGAAATTCCATCCTAACAAGGACATTCTCTAAGTCTCCGCTGGTTCCCTGCCGTTCGCCTTCATTTCCATAAGAAGATTAAGAGTGCAGGAGAACACACTCAAATGCAGATGTAGAAAAGAAGGGTTTTTAACGAGCATCATAATAGTAAGATGCTTGGCTAGTTCCCGCCTAATTGCTGCAAGTTAAACCTCTATTTGCAGCTAAGGGGAAAAAAAAATCTAGGTGCTCGGATCTTTCCATCTCTCCAAGACAAGATAGCTTGGTAAGTTTGAGCTGGAAGACTGAATGGAGAAAAGCCTCTCTTTTTTTTATAGTGCCGTGTCCCGTCCCCCCCCCCCCCCCCAAACAACANCACCTCATTTTGCGGAGGACATTTCAAGTTATTTATACATCCAGGGTTTCGTAAAGGAAGTGACAATTTAGATCAGTAAGTAACTATTAGAACAGGGGAAAATTTTAGAGCCTCGTTCGGCCCCGTCCCCATAAGCTTTTGAGGTCACTTCCCCCCCCAGCACTAACTAGATCGCTGGGAAACATGGTGGGTGGGGGCTGTTTATTTCATTTCCATAAATTATACCCAAGGCAACGAATTTTAAATCCATTCAGATTAAAACGTCGCTCTCCAGGCCTCCTTTTATATAATGCCCATATTCTACCGGGGGTGGGGATGGGATCTGAATGGGGCGCTGAAGCAAACGATAATCCCATGGGTGATACCATCTCCATCTCTGTCTCTCCCTAAATGAGAGGGGAAAAAATATTGTTTTAAGAGCCGTGCGGGGATCTACGCGCACCCATATAGAGGCACACCTAGCTCTGAAAAAGGAAGGGGAAAAAGATCGGGTGGAGGAGAGGGGGCTTGAAAAGCGCTATCGCTTTTATCTTATTTTTCTATAGCGCATTATTATGTATATATGCCAGAGACAGTTCACTGCACTGATAAGGAAAACACGGCTAATTAAAATAAAGCGGTAAATACTTGTGATAACGCAATTGTTAGGTAGCGCCATACCTTATTTAGATGATAAATGCAATTAACAAAGAGCCCAACCATCCACTTTAACCTCTTAACTGTGTTATTATAGAGTTCAGTGCCAATAAAAAGCATCTAGTTATGATGTGGGGGGGGAGGGGACTCATTCTCCCAATCCACTACAGGCTGCCTTACTCTCCATCTACAACAATGTGTGTGTTGAAAGAAAAACACACACACACACCTCACTATCCATCAGTTATCACTGTATTAAGCGAGACAAAATCGCTGCCTCCCACACCCACCCTTTTCTTCCAACTTAATTATCCATAAGATTTTTTTAAAGGACGTGATCAAGTATTTAGGCTAAAGTATAAACAACGACGAAGTTAAATACGGTGTCTGGACAATTAGAATCACTCTGTATATGTTTGGGGCGTGTGTGTGTTTGTGTGGCAAAGGGGGGGGGAATCGCTCGACATCCTCTATTGGCTTCCACGTGTGGGAGACTGAAGCAGTTCGATTGTATTTACTACTTGCAGTCAAGAAAACGAGCGAAGCTGTGCTGCAGGAAAAGTCTTAAGGGCGCCAGTTTGTTTTCTGATCCGTAGGAATCAGTAGAAGCGGGCACCTTGTGAAAGCAACCAGTATGAACGAGGCGAACAACGTAAAAGATATCCGCTTAACAGCAACAATCATATCCAGCATTAATTGCACACCTATCGTACCGTCATCTGCTCCCCTCTTCGGGGCCTGGAAAAGGGCGGTGCTGGGGGGGGGTGTCGAGGGTTTTTTTTGTTGTTGTTTTGGTGAAGGGGGGGAAAGGCGAATTGGCCAGTAGGGGGCGCACCAACCCTATTCCTAAAACCCCCAGCTGTGAAAGTCCGGCGCGCCCTTGCCATCGCTTCTCGTTCTCTTTTGTGTATTTCAAAATCACTTTTCATCTGCTTTTTTTTTTTAAAAAAAAAATCCAGCCACATCAGGAGTTGGCAGCGCTCTCAGTTCTTTCTCAATTTGCGCCAGCCTCTCTTGTCCTCCAAAAGTGAAATAAAAATAGGATTCGTTGGGGGAAAAAAACCACCCTCCCTTCTTTTTTTCCCCCCTTCCCAGTCTCATCTGTCTGCTGTTGAAACAAACCTAAAACAGGGCTAACGAAAAAGCTTATTTTGATTTCATACCATTGTGCGCATTTCTCTTTGAACAGATATTGTCCGCTGCATTTTTCTTAACAGGGTTTGAACAGGGCCCTTCACGTGCAGACGCACGTAGAAAAGGCGTGAAAGCCATGTCGGAAGAAAGGAGGGGGAGGGGGAGGAAAATAACCTATTTTCCAGAACTTACAACAAAATGGAACGTGTCCAACCAGAGAAATCGCTCCATCCCCCCCTTTTTTTTTCAGGAGCTGAAGGGGGAGGGGCGAGCGGGAGCCCCCAATGTTTAAGCACTTTATAAAGCAGAAATGGCAGGAGGGGGGGTTTCTCTTCTTTTCTCTCTTTGTAGTCAAGTGCGTTTTAGCAACAAAGATCCCAACAAGAGCTTCCAAATAAACTTAGCCTGCGCTTTGTTTCGTTGCGTGTAGTGACAGCGAGAATAATAAAGCTACCTATTTGTAACGGTTGTGTTGCCACCTCGCTATGGCTGGGGGATCTCACCTCTAGAAACCTCTTCTTCCCCCCTCCTCACTTTGCCAAAAATAAAAAAAGGAATAAAAATAAAAAGAACTGCGCGGGAGGGGTCGGGTGCGCGCGTCCGAATCGGCGCGCCCGCTTCTTCTCCGTGTCTCTAAAACCACTCTCCCCAATCCAGGCTGGGGGGGGGGGCGGCGGTTCGGGTGCGCGCGCGTCGGTGGCCCACTTCCCATTGTACCTGTGCACCTGCTTAGGGAATAAAGCCACACTTTTAAAATCGCAGGAAAGCAGCTTTTCAAGGAGCGGGAGGGATGTGTGTGCATGTGTGTGTGCGCGCACGCTGGGGTGAAGGGAGGACCCGTTTTTATTACACTCGGGTTCTGAGATGGTATCTGGGCTTTTGTTGCATCTTTCCTTCTCCCCTTGGTGGTGGGTGGACCGAGGAGCAGCATTGATTTCACAGAGAGACGTCTCGTGTAAAAGCAGCCACAAGAGGACCATCCTTGAGCCGGTTGAGGAGATCAGAAGGGGGGTGGAGGGGGGGATGAGGGGAATGAGGGGAGAGAGGGAGGCAGGACAGCTTGGCGTTGTTTTTCGGGAGCTGAATGGCGAGAAAGAAGGGGCAGAAGGGGGCCAACCGGCCTGGAGGGGACGTGGCGTCCCTCGGGAAAGAAAACAAAACCATCGCTACCCCCGCCCCTCAGTCTTGCACATCCCCCTAAGCACGTTACTTGGAAGTAAATCCCTTTGATTACGGAGGAACCGATAGTAACCCTCGCGCCACCTAACCCTCCAGGGTCGTCGAAAGGCCAGGGACGCCGGCCTACTTCTGCTGGCCAAACCCTTCCGGCTCCATCCCGAACCAGCTCCGTTTCGCGGATCTTCCCCTCGTGTTTGCTCGCCCGAGAGGGCCCGTGGATTCCCACGGTACCCACTGGCTGGGGGGGGGCGCGTGTGTGAAAGGGCCGCAGCCTCCTAGTCCAGCAACATCCCCAGAAAGCTGCTTCTGGAGGTCGGGGGGGGGCAGTGCTTTCTTCATCGATTTCCCTGGGAGTAAATGCCACTGCGGGCCATGCCAGCGGCGTCTCAGGCTCAGCCTTAGCTCTGCAGCCATTGCCAGGCGGTTCAGGTCGCCCCGGCGAACAGGACTGAGCACCAGAGACGGTGGGGAACAGTTGCCTGTCTAGACTGAGTGGGCACCGACGCCCCATGAGAGGGGCTCCTTTCCCTCCGGAGATCCCTTTGCAGGAGAGGCTGTAGGCCCTGGGCAGTCCTGGGGCCGCCGCTTAGATCCTTCTGGGCGGCTTCTGGGTTCCCAGGGCTTGAAAAGACCGCAGAGAGAAGAGATGCTGCGAGGAAACTCAAGGAATCCGCTCAGCACTCGGTCGAGGAGAAGAAGCGCCAGATCACTCCGGCTGCTTCTTAAGATCCAAGGAAGGGCCCTTCAGAGGCGGGGCGGCTGCCTTTCCTGCGCCCCCTCCCCAGATCGCCGCCCACCCCCCAGGTCCAGCCTGCCAGGCAAACAGCAGGAAAGTTGCGAGCCCTCCTTCCCCAACCTCAAGTTGGGCCGAGCGTTTTGTTGTCTTGTTTTTAATGCCGCCCCGGTGCTGTTGACACCCTCCCTCCCCGCGGCGTGTGTGACCTGTTGCTCGTCACAGGAGCTCCGAGGGGCCCTTGGAGTGGCGGCCGCGAAGGCCCGCCTCCTTCCTTCCCTGCCTCCTCTGTCCCTCCCTCCCTCTCTCCCTCGCGGGCCCGCTTCCCCAAGCCGAGCTGTCCCGGCTGGCGCGCGGGAAGCCCCGCCCCTTTTCATGCAAAACTCCCAGCCGAGGCTGGTGCTCAGTGGAGGAGCCGGCGGGCGCTGATTGGCCAGGGCGAACGCATTTATTCCCTGACAAGCCCCCCATCACATGGATGGTTGTCTATTAACTTGTTCAAAAAAGTATCAGGAGTTGTCAAGGCAGAGAGAGAGAGAGAGAAAGACAGAGAGAGAGAGTGAAAGAGAGAGAGTGTGTGTGTTTGGGGGGGAAAAAAAACAAAACAAAACAAAGGAAGGAAAAGGGGACAGAGGCTTCTGCTGGCTCTTTAAGACGAAGAGATACAGAGAAGGGGGGAAAACGAGGAAAGAATAGGGAAAGAAAGGAGGGGAAACGGACCAAGAAGAAGTTTCTCAATCAAGCCTCTCCGAGTCGTCTTTGTTATGATTCTCCTTGAGTAATCGTCCAGGGCTGCTGGCAGAGAGAGAGAGAGAGAGAGAGAGAGAGAGGAAGAGCCCGGTGCTGGTCCGGCCGGGGGAGGCTCTTTCTTCTGGGGGGGGAGATCTCCCCTCCCTTCCCCCTCCCCGAGAAGACAAGTCCAGCTCGGGACACTCGCTCGCCCCTCTCGGCGGCTGCTCGCTCGCGGGCGCGCTGATCCCCCCTCTTATTGACGCCTTTTTGGGACGATTTCGCTCGGTTTGGGCGGCCGTCGGACTTCGCTTCCTCTCCCTCTGCGCGCCTCCGGGGTCCGCGCGCGGGGGTTCAGCCGCCGGCGCCCCCGAAGCCTCGGGGTGGTTCCCCCCCGCCAGCCTCGCCACCATTTCCGAGACCTGCCCGCCGCCGCCGCCGCCGCCTCCAACTGCTGCGCGCCCCCCTTTCCCCAGAAGAAGCCGTTTGAATGTACAACATGATGGAGACCGAGCTCAAACCTCCCGCCCCCCAGCAGACGCCGGGGGGAGGCACGGGGGGGAACAGCAACGCGGGGGCCAACAGCCAGAAGAACAGCCCCGACCGGGTCAAGCGCCCCATGAACGCCTTCATGGTGTGGTCGCGGGGCCAGCGGCGCAAGATGGCCCAGGAGAACCCCAAGATGCACAACTCGGAGATCAGCAAGCGCCTCGGGGCCGAGTGGAAACTTTTGTCCGAGGCCGAGAAGCGGCCCTTCATCGACGAAGCCAAGCGGCTCCGCGCCTTGCACATGAAGGAGCACCCGGATTATAAATACCGACCCCGGCGGAAAACCAAGACGCTGATGAAGAAGGATAAGTACACGTTGCCCGGCGGCTTGCTGGCCCCGGGCTCCAACTCCATGGCCGCCGGGGTGGGCGTCGGGGCCAGCCTCGGCGCGGCCGGCGTCAACCAGCGCATGGACAGCTACGCGCACATGAACGGCTGGACCAACGGCGGCTACGGGATGATGCAAGAGCAGCTCGGCTACCCGCAGCACCCGGGCCTGAACGCCCACAACGCCGCCGCCGCCGCCGCCGCCGCCGCCGCCCAGATGCAGCCCATGCACCGCTACGACGTGAGCGCCCTCCAGTACAACTCCATGAGCGGCTCGCAGACGTACATGAACGGCTCGCCCACCTACGGCAGCATGTCCTACTCCCAGCAGGGCACCCCCGGCATGGCCCTGGGCTCCATGGGCTCGGTGGTCAAGACGGAGGCCAGCTCCAGCCCGCCCGTGGTCACCTCCTCGTCCCACTCCAGGGCGCCTTGCCAAGCGGGCGACCTCCGGGACATGATCAGCATGTACCTCCCCGGGGCCGAAGTGCCCGAGCCGGCCGCCCCCAGCAGACTGCACATGGCCCAGCACTACCAGAACGCCCCCGTGCCGGGGACGGCGATAAACGGCACGCTCCCG